TTTACTTTTTTGACGTTCTATGGCATCTCCACTTTCTAAGCATATATGACCACATGTAATATTTTGGTAAGTGATGCAAATAGTGAACTATGTAGGGCCAGGATGTAAAATATATGTAGCTGCAGCAATTTCTCTTATCTGATATGGTAAGTAATGGGGCTTAATTTATAGCTCCCTAAGAGTTTGACGAACGGGTCCGTGAACGCGATTCCAGATATATTTACCTCTGAATAAACTGCCTTTATTACACCATATCCACCCTGTCCAAAGTCTCTACTTGGTCTCAGTTGGTTCTCCAGTAAACTTGTGATTATCAACACTAACCTCATCGTTGTGGCGGCGGACAGCTAGCCTGTATCCCTCGTCATCCAGTTGAGTGAGTGGCAATGTCTTTTTTCGTTCGTACCAATTTTTGGAAAATCCTCGGGTGTAGGACTTTCCGCCTTTAGTAGAAACCTGTTGAATTATTAAATTTGGTCTGGGAGGTCCTAATTGTTTCGTTGCCAATTTATCTTCATTTGTTCGCCGACAAAAAGGAACTTCTTTCAAACAATCCACTCTTTTCTCAGTTACGTTCATGGTTACGTAACGTATGACGAAAGCGCGTAAGTGCAAGCCCACAGACACCCATTGAGATTGTATTGAAGGCTCTGAAATTTGAAAAAAATAGATTTTACATGGGAGTCTATGACAGACTTCTGGGCGATTTTCAACCTGACTGAAATCGCCCCAAAAGGGGGGGGAGCCATTTGAAGCACGACTTTAGCCTGATTCGACATTTAGTGGCAGTGTGGCACTGTGGCAGATCAGACGTATAGATTACAACACTGATAACTACTGTTGCCGTGATATAATTGATTAGAAAAAAAATCCCTTCCTTTTCCCGTTTGGCAGTGCGTCGCCCATATCGCCCTATTGAACAGGCCGCCCCTGCATAAGCGATAAACAAACAGTCTTTGTTGCTGTCAGTTGCTTCATCGAACTGTAAGGCAAAACGTTTGTCTTTGAGTTTATCTACCAGCTGTTCTTTAAGATCGTTAGCAATGTCATTTATACGTCTGGCGACAGTGTCATTGGACAGAGGGATAGTTTTTATTTTTGCAGCACTTGCGTCATCCAGCATGACAGAGACCATGTCTAATGCTGCAGGCAGTATCAGCTCCTCTGCTATGGAGTGGGGTTTTTTGCACTGAGCAATTTGGTACGCCACCTTATATGATGCTAACAGTGCTCGCTGGTTTACTGAAGTAGCATTCACAAAGCGGGACGATTGTTGGCAATATTCGGCACGTTTTCGCTGAAAAAACTCAAGCGGCTTATCAGCGTGATTGGGGTGTAATGTCTTTAAGTGACGCCTTAATTTATTTGGCTTCATGCTGTCCGCTGCCAACATTTTTAGACACAGTAAACATACCGGTCTTTCCTCGTCTCCCACCGTAGTCACAGTGAAGCCAAGCGCTACATACGCTTCATCATATTTCCTCGTCTTAGCTTTTGGGAGACTTACGTTTGTCTCATTATCTCCGTCTCTCTCCGCCTTTCTTTTCATCCCTGTTAAATATTTTTCCATGGTGTCTCTTAAGGGTTTGTTATCTGCACTTCATATCTCCTGCTCTGTGCTGTGTGCTCTTGTTCGGTGCAAAAAAACCATACTACCTGGGGGGAAAAAAGCACGTTCCACGGGGTCACACGCGCCCCCCCTGGCATTGCTCCGAGCCCCACCAGGGGGGCGCGCCCCACTATTTGAGAAGGACTGCTCTAGCCTGTCTACTATTCCGCTCATGATGGATTGCATATCTTTTGACCTCGGCTAACGAAGTAGTTCCCCATCCCACTAAAGTCCTCTTAATATTCCAGCTTATTTCTGGTCTCATTCCACTAAGAAATGCTAATTTTTAGCTGCTGATGGTACGGAGTATCATTTCCCTGTCCCTGGGGAGGCTCAGGTATTTCACTTGGCTGATGGTCTCACTGTCTTCCTGTTTACATTCATGTACTTTGGAGAAGTCAGCATGTCGATGGGAAGGTTCCCTTAAATTATTACACAACTCAGTTATTTTCCCAACATTTTGCCCATCATTTGCCCATGGTAGGACTGCTCCATTGGCATCCCCTGAAACCCACTGCCCCCCCCCCGAACAGCTGCCCAATCTTTCCCAACTAGGGTTCTGACTGTCCTCTCAATTCCCCCTGTGTTTAGCTTAAAGCTTGCTGCTAAACTCTCCAAATTCCTCCTGATCCCCTCTGTTCCTGTCTTAGGGTGCACCACACCCTCTATAGCTCTCACTACATCTCGCTGTGTCCATGCCCTATATACATCCAGTGTGTCTGGTGCATGCTCCACCCCAGCCCTTGGGTTCGGCAAGGCTATCAAAGGGTACTGGTCATCCCCTTCCTCATCATCTAACCACTCTTTCTTCCCTGGCTTATTGTAGTTTTCTAATCTTTTTAACTCCCTGTTTTTAAACTCTCTGTGTTTACTCTCTCTAGCTTTTCCTGTTTCTTTCCTCTCTACCCTCCTATCATTACTGAATCAATGATAATACATTTACATTCTAGTCACCCAGCAGACGCTCCTATCCAGAGCAACCTACAGTTAGTGAATACATTTTATTTTTTTATTTTTTACTGCCAATGCCACTTGCTTCCCTGTAACGAAAATAAATTATCGTTTTAAAATTTTCCAACTATTTGTATTTTCCCGCTAACCCATTTCAGTTCGCTATTCAATATCTTTAACAGTTCTCTCTGATTCGGCCCCAATCAATAAAACAAATGCTTGATATCGTTTATCAGCATACACTTAATGACATCCCTACCATCTGAACTTATTTACTGTCTCTCACCCCCCCCTCTCCTGGTCCTTCCTACATTATGGGGGAGGCGCGGGAAACTTCCCTACAATCTTCCTTCTTAGGAAATAATGTCATTCGTACTTATAACATATTTTCATAGACATATCTAGAATATTCCTAAAGCTATCTAATGCAACTTTTAATACACGTAAAAAAACCTCTCTCTTTCTACACCCATTTCCCATTGAATAAGTGCGTCTTCCTAGTTACCCCATAACCACGCCTCAAATCTCTTATTCAGCATTTAACCAACCAAATACTAAGTAGTATCCGGTTATCATTCATACCCGCCGTTGAATTCCCTCATACACACATATTTCACCTTATGCCATTCAAATGCCCAACACAACAGAATAGTTCAGTGCAACCCTCTATTGGTTCTTACAAGTCGCTCCGGACCAGAGCGTCTGCCAAATGACCAAGAATGCAAATGTAAATTTCTCTACTTTCTCACTCATTATGTACGTCTACGTTTGAGTGCGAAAGTTCATACATATGCATCGTTGGACTTTATAGGTACCTCTCAAATAATCGCTTTGTGGTGTTTTTAGCCAATTCTTAATTGACACGAATCATTTTTTCAAACATTTTACCCGTTGAACCAAAAAAATTGACTGTCCTCCTCCTTTTCTTTACCCATGCAGTCACGATGGTTAAATATTCCTTTGTTCCTGTTAAAGCATTTTCGCGCTTAAAAAAAAAACACACTCGGTGTCTCCAGCCCCTCCTTTCGCTGTTTTTTCAAATTAGTTCCACAGTGTACATGCATCTGTTTGATCATAAATTCTAATTTTTCTACTTCGAGATGCCCAATAAATTCATACCTCTTCTCCCAAATGGATCCATAAAACATATTTCTTCGATCTCTTTCTAACATATATCTTTCATCCCCCGTTAATTTTCGGACCTAGAAACCACCCCCCTTCTTGTTTTTTAAATAATTCACTCCCGAATTATTTTCGTAGGAGCTAATATCTTAGTGCGCCTCTTGCTTTTGTAATTAACCATTTAAAATTATTTAACCCCTAACCCAGAGTTTTTATTTAAAACTCCGGTTTCATGAAAAGAGTAAGTTACCCAATTTTCCTCACGCTACTTATTTTTTGCTCCTTCCTTGAAATAATGATCACGTCTCCCGATGGATTAAGTCTCACACATATACGACCTTATCATTTGCCAAACTTGTTTGCAAAGTTCTAGCAAATGCCCAGTCATTTACGCTACTCCCGACACATCCATCTCACACGATGATAATTATTTCCCTGTTTATATTATTACACTGCAATTCGTACAATGACAATATTAACTAGTTTACATTTGTGATTGCAATTCACTCCATGTCATTTCCGACTAGTTCATTTTTGTAATAGCTATTTACCTAGGATCAATTGCGGACCCTCCCTGTTTCGTAATAATTATTACTTCCTTTGAGATTTTGGTAACCTGTCTGCCCTTTACAAGAATTCATATTCTTATACAAGTTCAAATCATTTCACCAAAAGCCATGAATAAAATTACTGACCTTTTCCTTGTAGTTTGGATTCAAATAATTTTTCAAACTCGTTAACGTCTTTATCGTTCATAAAGAGTAATCACCGGCCTGTTTATAACCTTAACGTCGAAGGCCAGGACTATTCTCCACGGATGCAATCACCCGGCCGTGCACGGATTCGGTGTCCTTAGAACGATAAAGACGTATTTAAGCTCCGCTCAAAGGACCAATCTGTCATGTGAATTTCTATCTCTAATTCACCCTAAGCTTGAATCATTACCAGAGGTTGTAAGGCTCTGGTTTTAATCATCAATGATTCAAGGTCCACAACCAACAAGGATTTTCTGTATGTTTATTTATGGGGAGCTCTTCCGCCAATGACACAAACAGACGATTTTATACCTCCTGGACTTGACTCCTCCCACCTTTAGGTGACTTTTCTAAACAGTTTCCGCCTTCCCCCTTGAATGGTTAGTACCGCCCCCTCTGTTAGTGGGTTGACACTACATGATAATTCTAACATTTATACTGTGTTTGGGGTGAAATCCTTTAGTCATTATTCTTAAAATCCAAATTAATCTAACAGGATGTCCATCCCCACGGGCCCTGCAGAGGGTGACATGGCACCTCAGGTCGGGCTCCGGAGGGGACCTCTTGGGCTGGTTGCTCAGACGTACTCCCTGGGGCCGGGATACAGAGGCCGGCGGGGACTTGGAGGGGTTGGGGGAGATGTTCCAGGCCTCCCAGGGCGGGGCCCCTGGATGTTGCCTGTGGCGGACCTTGGTCCCCTGGCTGTGTGGCCCCTGGTCTATGGAGAGGCACTGGGCAGGAGCCTGGTTCCATGTGGCCGTAGGTATGTCCCAGAGGAGCGGGAGGCCCTTCTTATCGACCCACATGACCTTATTTTCTATCAGCTTCTGGCTCGCCACCTGAGGTAGGTCACCACAGAAACAAAGAGACATGGAGGAGAGACTGGTAACAATCGTTAGGAAAAAATAATGATTCCTTTTTTATTATTTTCAAGAGTGGACCTTTGAATGTTGATGACAATGTTAGATCTATGCAACACATCATATTAGTAATATATGAGTAAAATAGTAACACAGTATTAGTAATACTAACAGTAATAATAACTATGCATATCAATCAAATTCAATCAATCACATTTATTTATAAAGCCATTTTTACATCAGCAGATGTCACAAAGTGCTGTAGTGCTATGTACATTGTGTTTTGTGACACCTGGCGATCCCTCTGTGGCACCAGATGCGTGCCAGGTGCGGAGTTGTGTGTCCCTTGTTGTCTCCTTCACCAGTGGTGCACTCCCACAGGCCCTCAGCCAGTGGCAACCAATACATTACTCTCTTATAATATATCATCATCATCATTATAAAGGTAACTCTTATTATGGTCATTGTGATAATGTTGTCAGAGCAAAAGATGATGGACCAACGTTACGTACACGTTGGGCAGGGCTCCGTGCTCCAGTAGGCAGGTGAGGCAGGCGTGGGAGTGGCGTCTGCTCTGAGCAGTGAGGACCATGTGGATGGGTCTGCGGCCCAGGGGGACGCTGGCGTTCACGTCCACCACCCGTGACGGCAACAGCAGCCTCACACACTCCAAATGCCCATGTAGGCCGGCCACATGAAGCACCATCAGACCATGGTGCGTAAATATTGGTATACAGGCACGCACGGTACACACAGACAGGCACGCACGCACGGTACACACAGACAGGCACGCACGGTACACACAGACAGCACGCACGGTACACACAGACAGGCACGCACGGTACACACAGACAGGCACGCACGGTACACACAGACAGGCACGCACGGTACACACAGACAGGCACGCACGGTACACACAGACAGGCACGCACGGTACAAACAGACAGGCACACACGGTACACACAGACAGGCACGCACGGTACACACAGACAGGCACGCACGGTACAAACAGACAGGCACACACGGTACACACAGACAGGCACGCACGGTACACACAGACAGGCACGCACGGTACACACACAGGCACGCACGTACAAACAGACAGGCACCCACGTACACACAACAGGCACACCGGTACACACAGACAGGCACGCACGCACGGTACACACAGACATGCACCCACGCACGTACACACAGACAGGCACACACGGTACACACAGACAGGCACACACGTACACCAGACAGGCACGCACTGCACGTACCACACGACGGCACGCACGCACGTACACACAGACAGGCACCACGGTACACACAACAGGCACGCACGGTACACACAGACAGGCACGCACGGTACACACAGACAGCACGCACGGTAACACACAACAGGCACGACCACGGTACACGGACAACACATGCACACATGCAGACAAACACACAGGGAGGAACGGTTTAGGACTAGAAATCGGCCCTGGCATTTCTAACACACCTGTCCATTTTTTCCTCATGGCCCCCACACCGGACAATTTTTCCTTGAGGCAACCATTATTAGCCATATAATGATCATTTTGTGCAAAAAACAACAACTAGTTAGACAGGCCCACTGGGCTAAAAATGGACCAGCCAATCTTGAATTTGCCGGAAATGACAGATGGCCAGTCCGGCCCTACACAGTACAGCAATAGCTAACATGTTAGAATGCATGAACATAAACAAATAGCTAGATCTTCAAGAGATGGAGTTATTGAATTGACATTGAGTTAAGCTGCTGACAGTTCTTAATGCTCACCTGTTTTTCGAGCGTTGGAGCAGCGACCGCTTCAGGCTGAGGTGGAGCCACTCACAGTCCCCTGAGGTGGCCGCCTGGAACATATCGCTGTCCAGCGGAGCCTTCACTACCCACCGCACCAGCACCATCCCACCACCTACACCGGGCTTATTGGAGGTGCATATCAATAACAACAATCACAGTTCCAGGAACATGTTGAGAATGGTAATAATAATACAAAAAATAGTCTGTTAATGTTTTTAGAATTATGGTTTGATAGTCTGAAATAAACTAGTTTACCCAGATTTTGGTTAGCCTAAACTTTTGCTTGCATTTAGGCGACTCCTTGCTCTTGGGCGGTGAGCCACCACTTCAAGTTCAGAAACAGGTTTGAACTGTGCGCATGTGTGCAGTGTCAGTGCTCTATAACTTCTGATCAATTGCAGGCACACGTTACAATGTTACAACCGGTTGAATTCATAGCTACAAAGTAGTCTAGCAAATTAGGATACAACTTTACCACACAGTCACCATCTAACTCTTTTATGGTTGCTATGGTAATTCTCCACATTGTTCCTCTCTTTTTATGCACATTACATGCAACAACTCAACAACCAAAAACAAAATATAAAGACAAGAGATGTGATATCAATGTATTGAATCCTCCTATCTAGAATACATTTGATTTGAACACTTACTTGAGTTTTCCAGAATTGAGAACTCTTATCTTTGACGCGCAATGTGAAGACACTTTCAATAAAGCCTATAATCATAGTCCATTGTGGAAGGCAAATAAATGATGTCCATTTTACTGCAGTTGAATGAAAAGCATGATGTGTGTATAGAGGCGTGGTTAACAGCCCCCTCGAGGCAGAAGGAATCGGGGCCAGCACTAATTTATGATCCTTTTGTTGCTGTTATTGTTCCTCATGCACATAGCCTACAGAAAACGGCTTGGTTTCATAACGGCTATGAAAAATGTATTGAAATGAACAAATAGTTCAAAGCAAAGACACTTCTAGAATTCCTAAAGTCATTATCAGTAACACCTTCTTAAATTATAAAGCATTTTTCCTATCAAAGTGATGATAATTTCAACATCGATTTTCCCATCAATGTGGAAATCAGTCTACAACAAATACATTTTTTTCGCTACAATAGCAAATAACATGATACACAAATCTGGCACTTTGCCCCACGTGGCATTTCTCTAATTACTTGCCTAATTAACAACATTGATTTACATCCTGGTCAATCTAATCTAAGGCCCCTTTGGCCGTTGTTAGGCCGTGTATGGCCGTTGTTGGGCAGGACGGAGTGTGACTCCTGTCATGACACTGGGGAATGGATACTTCCTATAGCTCAGGTCAAATCCCTGGGCAGAGGCATTGACTGCCTCGGCTGGAGCACACGTGTGTATGCGTGTTGTCATGGACAGTGCATCAGCCTGAGTGTTCAGAGCAAAGTGTGAAATGGTTCGATTGGAGGCCTGCTTCACTGGAACCAGCTGAGTATATGACCAGAGAGAGCAGTGTGTGTGTGTGTGCCTGTGTGTGTGTTGATATTCTCTATGTCCCTGTGGGTCTATGTGATCAATGCTCTCATCAGTGGGGTAGCCTAGTCTGACAGTGTACCCTGCCTGAACCCATGAGAGATGGGTGCAGGGCCGGACTAAGAAATCATAGGCCCCGGGGCTTTGTTTGTTTTTATAGCCCCCCAGCAGCAGGCTGTCTACACTCATTGAGAGGGGTTGCAGTAAAAAAAACTACAAAACATATATGACATATATAATATATACAGTATATATTTCCTTTAATATTATCTTTTGTAAAACCTTTTTATTTTGTATTTATTTTTTGCTTCCTCTTGGGCCCCCCACAGGCCTGGGCCCAGGGGCTTTAGCCCCGTTAAGCCCCTGCATTTATCCGGCCCTGGTTAAATGTGTCAATACCTTGCAATGTTTGTGTCATTGCAATACTGTACTTTCACCTGAAACTTGATTGTTACTCATGTTTATTTTTAAAAAAACACTGCTGTACTTTACTTTTGTTATATGTAGGCCTGTGTTCCCTCCTGTTATGTACAGTATGTTCCCCTGTCCGGTGATAGCCATTCAGAAGAAAGACTCTCCACCATCTCATGCTTAGACAGGAGAGGTATGATCCATAGCAACGGATTTCGGATACCTGTTCTAGGAATTCTCACAATTCTATTCCTATGGTAGAATCCTAATTCTATTCCTATGGTAGAATCCAAATTCTATTTCTATGGTATGAGTTACTCTGTGTGTGTGGTTCCTAGAGTTCCTGTATATGGGGAAGGATGGTCGTTGAGTGTGTGTGTGTGTTTGCTCCCAGCAAAAGTCTCAGAACGCAGCGGACAGAGTCCCTTTGTCCATTTCTTTTTGGCTTCACAAATCAGATGCTTGAGTGGTGTGTGTGTTTGTCTAAGTATGGTTTCTGCTCATAGCATGATAACATAGAGCCCAATTTATAGGTAAAAGCTGGGCCTTAGCCTAACGTATGTATTCGCTCTAATGTGGAGAGAGAGCTAAAAAGGACGTGGAAAGAGAGCTAAAAAGGATAGGGAGAGAGGGAGAGAGGGAGAGTGAGAGTGAGAGAGTGAGAGTGAGAGTGAGAGTGAGAGTGAGAGAGAGAGAGAGAGAGAGAGAGAGAGAGAGAGGAGAGAGAGAGAGAGAGAAGAGAGAGAGACTGCATGCAGAATTCTGCAAAAACATCCTCCGTGTACAACGTAAAACACCAAATAATGCATGCAGAGCAGAATTAGGCCAATACTTATAATTATCAAAATCCAGAAAAGAGCCGTTAAATTCTATAACCACTTAAAAGGAAGCGATTCCCAAACCTTCCATAACAAAGCCATCACCTACAGAGAGATGAACTTGGAGAAGAGTCCCCTAAGTAAGCTGGTCCTGGGGCTCTGTTCACAAACACAAACAGACCCCACAGAGCCCCAGGACAACAACAACAACAACACAATTAGACCCAACCAAATCATGAGAAAACAAAAAGAGAATTACTTGACACATTGGAAAGAACAAACAAAAAAACAGAGCAAACTAGAAAGCTATTTGGCCCTAAACAGAGAGTACACAGTAGCAGAATACCTGACCACTGTGACTGACCCAAATTTAAGGAAAGCTTTGACTATGTACAGACTCAGTGTGCATAGCCTTACTATTGAGAAAGGCCACCGTAGGCAGACCTGGCTCTCAAGAGAAGACAGGCTATGTGCACACTGCCCACAAAATGAGGTGGAAACTGAGCTGCACTTCCTAACCTCCTGCCAAATGTATGACCATATTAGAGACACATATTTCCCTCAGATTACAGCGATCCACAAAGAATTCGAAAACAATCCCAATTTTGATAAACTCCCTTATCTACTGGGTGAAAAACCACAGTGTGCCATCACAGCTGCACGATTTGTGACCTGTTGCCACAAGAAAAGGGCATCCAGTGAAGAACAACCCATATTTATTTTTATTTATTTTCCCATTTGTACTTTAACTATTTGCACATTGTTACAACACTGTATATAAACATAATATGACATTTGAAATGGCTTTATTCTTTTGAAACTTCTGAGTGTAATGTTTACTGTTAATATTGATTGTTTATTTCACTTTTGTTTACTATCTACTTCACTTGCTTTGGCAATGTTAACATACGTTTCCCATGCCAATAAAGCCCTTAAATTGAATTGAATTGAAAAAAATTAGAGAGAGAGAGAGAGAGAGCGAGAGAGAGAGAGAGAGAGAGAGAGAGAGAGAGAGAGAGAGAGAGAGAGAGAGAGAGAGAGACCAAAAGGGCCTCACAGCACCTTCATATTTGATGAGCCACCTGGTGAGGATCTCATGCCCTGGGGGCCTGTGAGATATGTTAGTGTAAGTGCGCTGATGTCTTGCTCCTCTTTTTTA